GTGACTGTTCCTTAGTCCCTTGATCTCTGTAGCAAGAGATTCTCTGCTGTCAGCTATACTGTTTTCAAGCCCAGCGATTAATTTTATGACTATTATTCTAAATTCACTTTCTGTTATATTATTTAAATCCTTTTTGATCAGCTCATTAGCTGTTGTTATTTCCTGGAGATTCTTCTGAGGGGAATTCTTCCGCTTGGTCATTTTGGATAGTCCCTGGCGTGGTGAGGACCTGCAGAGTCCGCACAGAGTCCGCACTTCCCCTGTGCTGTGGTGTATAAGTGGAGTTGGTGGGCGGAGCCGCAGTCAGACCTGATGCCTGCCCCCAGCCCACCGCTGGGGCCACAGTCAGACTGGTGTGTGCCTTCTCTTCCCCTCTCCTAGGGGCGGGATTCACTGTGGGGTGGGGTGGCCTGTCTGGGCTACTTGCACACTGCCAGGCTTGTGATGCTGGGGATCTGGCGTCTTAGCTGAGGTGGGTAGGCAAGGTGCACAGGGGCAGGAGGGGCAGGCTTAGCTTGCTTCTCCTTAGGTGATCCACTTCAGGAGGGGCCCTGTGGCAGCAGGAGGGAGTCAGATCCGTTGCCGGAGGTTTGGCTCCGCAGAAGCACAGAGTTGGGTGTTTGCGCGGAGCGAGCAAGTTCCCTGGCAGGAACTGGTTCTCTTTGGGATTTTGGCTGGGGGATGGGCGGGGGGTGATGGCGCTGTCGAGCGCCTTTGTTCCCCACCAAACTGAGCTCTGTCGTCCGGGGGCTCAGCAGCTCTCCTTCCCTTTGTCCTCCAGCCTTCCCGCTTTCTGAGCAGAGCTGTTAACTTATGACCTCCCAGCCGCTAAGTCGCGCTTGCTGTGGGAACACAGTCCGTCAGGCCCCTCCGCTTTTTGCAAGCCAGACTCGGGGGCTCTGCTTGGTCGGCGAGCCGCCCCTCCGACCCGGCTCCCTCCTGCCTGTCCGTGGAGCGCGCACCGCCTCGCCGCCCTTCCTACCCTCTTCCGTGGGCCTCTCGTCTGCGCTTGGCTCTGGAGACTCCGTTCTGCTAATCCTCTGGCGTTTCTGGGTTATTTAGGCAGGTGTAGGTGGAATCTAAGTGATCAGCAGGACGCGTGTTGAGCCCAGCGTCCTCCTACGCCGCCATCTTCCCTCCTCCTCTCCACATTCTTATTTCAATACTTAGATGTGGAAATTTTTCCAAATTTGTAAATTTTCCAAAGGTGATAAGGAACTGGAAGGGCATCTGAGCTCAGTGGTATTAAACTGTAATGATGTTGCAGGTTTATAAAATATGCAATGTTTAAACCTCACACGAGAGTGTAACTAAAAAACAAACATCAAACAAAGAAAATGAGCTCTGTAATTGAGAAATCAATATAAGTGGCCACCCTTTAGCATATTCTGAAATTTAATTCCATGATAATTCCCAAGTTGCTTTTTTACTTTTAGTTATTTAGGTTTATATAGAAACACATTGCAATAATGGTGAATCCTGGATTTTAAAAGATGACATTAGACAAAATTGTCAAGTTGGGGCTGCACTCCCATCTCTCATATCCTATCCCTCCTGTATTTCCTCAGATGTCTGCATGTGTAAAGCCTTACAGAAGTGCTTGCATTTACACAGGGGCTCTTAATGACACAAAACTTTCAAAACTCAAGTAAATGAACCAGTGAGTATAGAATTCCAGGTGTTGTGATAGGTATTGGGTGAAATATTTGAGGGCCTGGTACCATCTTCCTCTAGATCTCATCCTCTGAAATTTAAACCACTGACTTACTTCTACACATAACCCTCAACTTCCATAAGATCCCAGTCTCTAGAGCCCTTTGTTTTCACACCTGAGTAGGAGATATGCTGTTGGTTCTAGTTATTAAGGCTGCCCTTGCCCTGTGGAAAGCTATCAGCAATAATGTCCATTTCCACTGACTTCACATCAGTGGTGGGAATTTCTGAAAGGCTCTCTTCTCTTAAGCCCAGTGAGTCCTCCTTGCTCATGGTAACTCATGGCATTTCTCTTAGAACTAAAGCTGAAATTGTCAGAAGAACAAGGGAGTGCTCCCAAAGACCCACCTAGAAACCTGTCCTGTGAGCAATCTGCAGTCCCCAGAGAGAATGGGAAGCCAGAAGCTGTGGGCCCTGAGCCAAGCTCCTCTGGAGAGGACACTCCTGATACTGTGCTGACATGCCTAAAGGAGAAGACAGAGCAACTTCCTGCTCAGGAGGATTCTAAGGTACCTCACCATATCCTCACAGGTCCCAACATTCAATAGGATTCCAGAGAGATTATGGTTTTGACCAATTTGTAAGAGTACTTGGCACTACATAAACATCTTTAGGAGACTGGTTCTGAATTTCAGTCAGGTGACCTCCTAGCAAGTTATTGACCATGACCTATAGGTGTTCCCACTTAATTCCAGAATGTTATTCTGGAAGTTATACTATTGCATGCTGGTAGGAAGCAGATAGCAAAGATATTAGGGTGTATCATATCTACTTTCTCCCTTATTCCCCTAATAAATTAGCAAATTAACCCAAGACTAGTATTACAATCCCATTTTACCATATATTTTATTTAAAAAATAATGCAGCTGGGATGAGGTATACATAGTGAGGAAAATGGTTTAGTATCTTATAAGATAGATAGGTAGGCTTTTTAAGAGAGTGTTAGGTAAAAAGATGTCTAAAGACCTCAGTTTTAGTCTTTAGACTGAAGTCTTTAGACATCTTAGTTTTGAAATCTTTGTGAAAGATTTCACATCCTGCACATCTTCTCATCCTGCACATCTATGCTTACATTTCATTTATGACCAGGAACCTTCCTTGTAGTCCTTTCTGTATCAACTCTAAAAGTGGTATGATTGCCTTTAATTTCTTGAATAAGAGTTGTAGCTTGCATATCATAGCCCTAACTATGCTGTATGACATTTTCTATCTCTCATTTTATACTTTAGACCTCTTGAGTAGAATAGCTATTTGTAGCTCATGATCCTACAAGTGTCTGTACATAGTAGGTATTGAATAAATGTTTGCTGAATGAATGGACAGATGAATGAATGAACTAACATATTTAACTTTGGAATCAAGTATTATTGATAATGGTGACTTTACCTGTTATATTGCACATTATATGGTCTTAATCATAGGTGACAACATATGCCAAATCCCAAAAGGCTCACCATATGCCCCTGGACTTGTTCTTTACATGGAGACTTGTGATGTACAAGCAGAAATGGGCCTTTGGCCACCTCTATTTTTATGAAATACTTTTAGATTAAAAAAAAAAACAATTCTATGTTGTAAGAAGTGAATAGGTTTTTATCCACTTGGCCAACTCATTCCACGCCACCAAAGATTCTGGATTTTTATGATAGTCAGCAGATAAGTGGGTAACACACACACACACACACACACACACACCTAATTCTATGTTCTACTTCATTAGGGCAATGAGGGATGAGTTAGGATTGGTAGAGTAGACTTAGATCAGGACTCAATGCTTCAATAAGCCACTTTCTAGCCATGTATACTTAGTAAGTGAATTAGTTCTCTGAGATTCAATTTACTCATCTATAAAATACAGATAATACCTACTTACGTAATTATTGTGACAATAAGGAAAGATGCCTGGTGACTGGTGGGCAATCATTAATTTGCAAAAATATTTGAGTGCCATAATAGGCACAACAATGTGTTGTGAGGTATGATACATATTGGATATAATAAGACAGAGAAGCTATGAGGGTTACTGCCCTCATGAAACTCATGTACTTCTGAAAATTGGGATACAACAACAAATAAACAGCTCAATAAGTAAAGTTATTAAAGATTTTGATAAGCAGTGTGCAAAGAATTAAACAGATAGTATAGAAAATAATGGGTATGCTTTCTACTTTATATAATGTGACTAGGAAGGCCAATAGGTGACATTTAATGAAGAATCAGCAGGCCAAGAGAGCAGCAAAAATCATTTTAGGCAGATGGAATTGCCAATATGAAGGCCTTGAGGGAAAAGATTGTGTGTACTTAGAATTCTGGGTCTGAGGGCTAGAGCACAGGATGGTATGAGATGTCAGAAAGTCAGACTGGGGCCCCTGACATAGTACCTTTTAAGTTACTACCTAAAGTATTGGAAAACTGTTGAGTCGTTGAAAGCAGGAAAGTGATATGGTGTGATTTACATTTAAAAGATACTGCTGAAATTTTTAAAAATATTTATTCTTGAGAGAGAGAGAGAGAGAGCAGGGGAAGGGCAGAGAGAGGGGTGTGTGTGTGTGTGTGTGTGTGTGTGTGTGTGTGTGTGTGACAGAATCTGAAGCAGGCTCCAGTCTCAGCTATCAGCACAGAGCCGGCCGGGGTCTCGAACTCATGAACTGCGAGATCATGACCTGAGCTGAAGTTGAACACTTAACGGACTGAGCCACCCAGGTGCCCCTAAAAGATCTTTGTTATTCCTTCATGGAGAACAAATCACAGGGGAAAATTCTGGATAGAGAAAGATGAAATGGGTGGTTTGGACTAGCATGAAAGCCTTAGGGATGGAAAGAAATAGACATACTCAAAGTATATTTTGGAAGTATAATCAAAAGGATGTGCTGAATCATTGGATGGTAGGAGGGAAGGAAAGGAAGAATCCAAGATGGTGACAGGTCCATTTACTGAGATAGGGAAAACTACAGAAGGAACAGATTCAGGATGAGTGAAAAATTAAGAGGTTCTGTTTTTAACACGTTCACTTTAATATTTTTGAGGAATACAGTGACCAACTATCCCTGGTTTCCTTGGATTTTCCTGGATGTTAAAAATTGCACGTCTTTCAAAATGCCCCATCCTGGAAAAATGGGGATGGTTGGTCACCCTACTGAGACATCTAAGTCTAATAGACACATGAACAGAGAGTCTAAAGATCAGAGAAACATATTTGAGTTCTTTGGAAGTTATCTTTGCTTAAATGGCTAAACTGTATAATAAGTGTCAGAAGCCCCTTCAGATAAAGCTAGCATCTCTGCAGTAGGCTAAAGTGAGGCCCTTTAAATAGAAAGCATCTGTAGTGGAATATGTAGCTCTCAATATCTAAAGCTGTAGTATTGTTCCTGGGGGGTGGGGGGAGTTAAAATACCAAACCTGATAGTGGCTAGTCAGCTATCAGGTGGTTCCTACAGGAGAGCCCAAAAACCACAGAAGCAGCCAAGGGAGGATTGCAAATTTCCACAGTAGCTATATTATTCCTGGATCCTCAGTGAACTCATTAGCACTTGAGATTATCTGACTAGGTTCTATTTCTTTACACTCAAATTGACAGATTATTTTCATCTGGGGTCCTTGCTTTACTGTTGAAAATACTGTAAATATTAAAATTTCCAAGATGAAGAATTATTTCTTTTCTAGAGAGAACTTTATGAAATTTTCACATTTGGTGTTTAGTCAGAGTCCATACTAAAGCTGATAAATCCCACAGCATTGCCTTGTCAGTTCAGATACTGCTATAGGGTAATTTTCTTCCTCTTTTATTTATAGATGATTTTTGGAGGTAACAACTTCTGGGTCACAGGGTATCTATTCATTGAGCACTGTAGGTGAATGAATAATCCCTTAGGTATGACTGTGGTGCCTATTTATGTCCATTTCTTGTGAAAATCTTGAATTGGTGCTGGCACATCATACCCATTTTATTGCCCTTTCTCAGAACCGTAGGGTGGTATCAGGTGCATGGCACAAATTGAGCACTGTAAGTGAATGAGTCATCCCTGACTGTGGTGCCTATTTATGTCCATTTCTTGTAAAAATCCTGAATTGGTGCTGGCATGTTATACCCATTTTATTGCCCTTTCCCAGAACTGTAGGTGGTATCAAGTGCATGGCACAACTTACTAACTGGATGAGTAATGGCAGTTACTTCTGGCCCTTCACTAACTGCAGCATCTTTGAGGAGGAAAGCAGGTTTTTAAAAATATATATAACTCATTTTATTTTAAAAAATAAAATGAAAATATAGTGATTAGTAGGTTGTTATACCCACTGGTTGTTATACCTTGCAGAGAGGGCAACTTAAAAGTAAAGGGCACAAAAAGTAAGATCCCATCAAGTTATTTTGCCTACTTGTCATTTTAAATAATAAAACAATTTTTAAAATTGGTAATACTATCTCACATAGTTCAAAAGAAAATACAAATGGCCACACATTAAATAGATTCTTTGCCACTCCATCTGCTAGCTCTACCCCAAGCAGGTAACTATTGCGGCTAATGTTTTATGTGTACTTTTGGAGTTTCTATATAAAGCATATACAAGGGATTACTTTGGTAATTATTCTAAGAGTAAAATCAACTAATCAGAGTGAAAGATAAGTGCATACATTGTACATGGACCCTGATTTTCATCTGGCATCTTTGGACGATATTCTTCTATAATGGCATTTATCATCCTAAGCTGCTCTTTGGTCACTATTTTCCTCTTTTAGGACAAAATTTAGCTTTTCTAGAATCCAAAGAATTTAGTAAAAATAAATAAAATTACAAAAATCAAACTGCTGTACAGAGATGCTAATAATAGTTAAATACATCATTTTTCTGAAGTTGCTTTCTATGAAATATAAGTCCCAATGAGATACTGAATAAAAAACATTGTTCATGTTTTCTGAACTTGGATTGAGATTTTTTTTCTTTATTACCTATTAAAACCCCATAAGATAGATAAAAGGTTTGTTTTTTTTCATGGCAAGATGTATCATGACTAGGAAAATATTTAAGAAATTATTAGGCTGGAAAACGAAAGGGTCTTGTGGTTACTTAACCAATACTTAAATGGCTTCTACAGAGAGAGGTGATCTGTCTTTCTACTGAAAATGAAAGTTCTTAGGTTATAGCCTATGGAATTTATATGAAGATTGTTAGAAATTAGGGTACTTTTGTTTTTAAACCTGAGTTGATATATTTATAGCAGGGAAGGGGATGTGTTGAGTACTGTGAGAATTTTTTAAAATATCTGATATAATTTTTGTCCTCAAGAAACTTCTAACTCATTTGGGCAGACAAATCTGAAACACAGTACATAGTTAAGGCCCAGATAATCAGATAGAAAAGTTCAGAGAAAAGGGAGCTAAATGTGGGCCAGAACGGTTCTCAACTGGGACAGGGGTAGGGTAACATGTGAATAACTAGGAAGTTTGAAAAATACACATACTTAAGCCATGTTCTTTTCCTTCAGGATCCCTTTGTGGGATCTGGAAGGCAGAGATCCAGAGAGCACCTTGGGTATGTGTACTTTGACAAAAGATACCTGGGTGATTTGCTCTGTGCTATTTCTCCTGTTTCCTTCCTGCTAGTCGCTTAGTGAGAACCATCTGACCAGAGTGAAAAAATTGTGTGTAGTAAACATATAGCAAATTAATGTAGGATACACAGAAGGGAGGAAAACCAAGGCAAGCAGAGGTTTGGTCATTTTGGATGGTCACTTTGGATGGAGAGAAGGATGATATAGTGGTGGTGGGTAGGTAAATAGAGGATTGATAAATAGGAAGCTATTTAAATTTTTATGCACAGTGTGACCTGTTAAAAATAGTGCTTAGGAGAATACATATTTGGACCAAGAGTTTATGAAATCTTTCAGTTGGAAGGAACTTTGTAATTCCAACCTCCTTATTGTACAGGTAAGATAAGGATTCAAATAAGTTAATTGTCGTATCAAAAATAGTTTGTGGCAGAGCTAGCCAGTAACCTAGTATATACTCCAAGCTTGTGATGAAGACCCATACAAAGTTTGTGTTTGTGAATATAATCAGGAAGATCCATATAAAATACATGTTTCAGAAGAAAAATCAATAGGTCTACATATTGTTTTTTAAGAATGAAGAAATAAAATGACAGGCTTCTTACCATTACATATTTAGGATTCCTTCAGAAGCCTTAAAACATCTTTCTAAACTTGGACCTATCCTTTAAGAAACTTTTCCTGGAAGAAAATTGGCATGTGCTTTAAACAGTATCTTATAATTGTCTTCCCTTTTTCTAATTACTGTTGCATTATAGTATTATTAATCCCTCACTTTGAGGCTTCAAAACTGTTTTTTTTTTTTTTTTGCCTGCTAAAAATACTGACATGCTTTCATTCTTGCCTGAGAAAGGAACAATAATTAATTTCATGTTTTTCAGGTAGCTAAGCAAGACAAGAACCTCATAAAGCCTCTTTATGACCGATACAGAATTATCAAGCAAATCTTGTCAACACCTTCCCTTATTCCAACAATTGTAAGTCAGCATGCTTGCATTAACTAGAAACCTGTACTTGTGCTTGGTATTGTTTAAGTAGGGAGGCAGCACTATGACAGTGATAAAGAAGCCTTCTTGGCAGTATATGCTGCTAAAAAGGTCAGTTGTTATTTCACACAGTAGAAATGTGGTCTCCTTTGAGCCAAATATCATACTTAACAGGTGGATGATAATTAAAACTATTATGAAACAGGAATATATAGCAACTGCATTTTTTAGTTTATTTTGTGAGAGAGCACACATGGGAGGGGCGGTAAGAGAGGGGAAGAGAGAGAATCCCAAGTAGGCTCTGCACTGTAAGCATAGAGTCCAATGTAGGGCTCAAACTCACAAAACATGAGAACATGAACTGAGCTGAAATCAAGAGTTAGACACTTAATCAACTGAGCCACCCAGGTGCCCAGAAATTGCATTTTTGAAGCCAGTTTTAATATTTGCTTTAATTTCTTGGATGAGGAGAACAACTGATGAATTTCAATTTCATCATCTAATTTACAACACAGCTAAACCACACAGAGTCTTTCTATTCCGTGTGTTAATTTTTCTTCTTTAATAAGAAAATTGACTACATGTTCCTTGATACAAATGCAACATTTGTTTTTGGTACCATTTAACCATCACTGAATAAGACATAAGATTTATTTCAATAGAAAACATGGCTACTAAAATTGAGCTAGACTGTTTTTAATAAAGAATGATTTATGGGAATACAGAACTAGAAAGGCACCACAAATCCTACTCCATTAATATTAAAACAGTCACTTGCTCAAGATATCAGTATAAAAAGGAATAAACATTAACAAATATACATTTAAGTATACTGGACTACATTTATAATTTCACAATTTTCAAGACAAACACAATAGTGATTCATAATCTCTAAAATGTTCCCATTAAAGAAGCATGGTTTAAAATGGGGTATGATTTTCAGATTTCCTTGCAAAAAATTCTTTTGGTTGTGGTAAGTATTAGCAGAACAGGTTAAGGAGTAACTCCATTTTGCTTTGGCCTTCATAGAGCTCTTCCCTGAATTTGTCAATTTTCTGACTATCCTCTATATCTGAATGTGGCCCACACCAGGATCTGATTTGGGGTATTTCTGAATAACAAAAGGTGTCTGAAGTCCATTTCATCCTAACCCATGTAACTGTTGTGAAGCTGGGGTCCAGGTCTGAGTGAAAGGGAGGAACTAGTAGGCAGTCCTAGATTCTGTGCCTTCTTTGGTCCAGCAAAAAGACAAACTTGCTGAGCATTTTAGCCCAGCATTGGGTGGGGATGGGGTGCTTCTTTGATCATTAACTTCTGTAAGTTTTTTGATGCAACTGAGGAAGAGTCACTCTTGTTTGTTTCCTTCTGGGTTTTCAGTGGTACAGGGATCACCTACTCTTTTCATGGTGTCTATTTATGGTTCCTCTTCCTGTTTTTGCTTCAAGAGTCACTTAGCATTTTTGTGACTTCATTTAACTCTGCTTGTGATAAGCAGGAGGAAGAAGACTCTGATGAAGACTGTCCACAGGGAAGCCAACAACCTTCTCTGCCAGATACAGCATCTCACCTGCCTATTGGCGACCACCTCACCTTCTCTAATGAGACGGAACCTATTAGGGTCCTGCTGTCAGATGAAAAAAAAGAAGCCAAACAACCAGCCCTATCCATGTCCAATTTACATGAGGCCACTATGTGAGTGTGAATCTTAAATATGGAGTTTCTTTTTAACTCTTTATAGTCTTAGATACCTTACATGTGCCTACAAAATTCACAAGAGCTGTTAGATTCTCTAAAAAATGCAACCTACCAGAGAGCAGCCTAAAAGCATAATCTGGTTGTTCTCCTTATTGGAGAATTGAGAAGACAAAGCCATGAGGAACCAACACTCTCAATAAGGTCCTAAAGATGCCAAAAATGTTAATGTTCAATTTCCTCTAGTTGCATACCTTTTCAGCAGGTTCTGGCACCAGTCTAATTCTCAGCAGTGTGTGAAGCAGAGCTGGCTTTTGAAAATGCTAGACCAAAAGGAATTGGGGTCCCATGTGGTTCAACATTTCAGGGCCTTTAGATAAGATGGTTTCTCTAGCCTGGGAATCACCTTGGGTTTCAGTAAATGAGCTGCCCTTTTTCTCCTAATGGCCCTTCAGGAGCTATTTGTATTTTCATTAGTATTATCATTATTGTTATCATTACCATTATTTAGTAGTTGGCATTTCTCTTCATCATTTCACCTTCTTTCGTTTGTATATTATAGGCCAGATTATGAGATTTCCTTTAACATGTATTACAGTGTGGTGAGTGTATACCTCAAGATAGGTATGGAATCCACCCACATATATGAGGTGAGACTAAGGACTAAGTTGTAAATTGGGATTTTAGTGTGTTTGTAGAATCAGTTGGTACCACAACTTCGGCTCAGAGAAGTAACCCATTTGGAAGCAGAAATCCATCTTCCTTCCGCTCTTGTTTTCTTTCTTTTTTCTCTCCTCTTTCCTTTCCTTCATTTATTTGTTGGTTGTTTGGTTCTTAAGCAGCTTTTGAGGGGTGTTAAGAATATTTTTTTTAATGTCAATATATAATTTCAGGGCGTTCAGTCTCTGAAACCATGCACAAGTTCCCTAGATAAAAATTCCTGCTTTAAAAGTATATGCTTTGTATTAGTAGAATGAAGTGAGTAGAATTTTCAGTGTAACTCTATCTTCACTTTGGGTCTAATTTCATTCCCAAGGTTTTTGCCATTTTCCCCATACTCTACATTAAGGATAGAACTTGTTTTAAACTCTCTTCCTCTTGTGCCTCTTAAGTATAGTCTATCACCAAATACCAATGAGTATTCTTTTAAAATGTCTCCTTTTCCCTCATCCATTCATATGGTCATTACCCTCACCACACTTCAATTTTTTTTTAAGATTTTATTTTTAAGTAATCTCTACACCCAATGCGGGGCTTGAATTTACAACCCTGAGATCAAGAGTCACATGCTCTACTGACTGAGCTAGACAGGTACCTCACCCTAACCACATTTTGTAATGGACTTAGTCACTCAGTCAGCTTGCCTTTTTTCTCCTCTCCTTTCTCCTTTTGTTCTTTCTCTTCTCCTATGACATTGTTTTCATTCTCTGCTTATGTGCTTCCCTATGATTAGGTTCTACATGTACTATATTTATTCAAAAGATACTTTTAGGCAGAACTCTTCTGTATCATAGTATGATTTGCTGAATAGATAAATCATTTTATGATGTCTCAATTATGCCAGAGTTTAGTAATGGCAAATCCATATTTTACTTGGTATAGGCCTGTACTTCTTGACCATCTCCGAGAAACTAGGGCTGACAAGAAGAGACTTCGGAAAGCCTTAAGAGAATTTGAAGAACAATTTTTTAAACAAACGGGAAGGTAAGTTGGGCAAAGATTTTTTTTAAGCAAGTATTTCCTAGGGAATTATCATTAAGAATGAGCTGGAGTTTTGGGCAGGAATGTGAATTTATAAAAGATATAAATAATTTCAATAGTGACTGAGATCTAATGCAACATTCTAATAGTGCCATTATTAGGTATGTTTTATGGGAGGCTGTAGCCATCAAGTATGACATAAGGCTTTAAAAAAATAAAGATGAATTGCAAAAATTCCTAACTTTGCTTTATAAATCTCTTTATAATTATTGAATTTATCTAAAACTTTAAGAAATCTATTTGATTTTTTAACCCATATAATTTATTTGTTCTTGATTAGTTTCACAAATTATTCCCCACTTCATTAATTCTTCCTTTGCTTTAAATATATCTTTTAAACTTCAGGATCTATCCTTAATTATTTATTTTCAGGATTTGGTCAAAAGTTCATAGCTATTTTCTCTATCCTTTAAATAAGTGTTTAGCTGTATCCTCTATTTGTCTATTTTTGTCAACCCAAGTCTCCATGTGCACTCCATCAGTTTCCTCTAAATTTGGCTATATTGTCAATGTATATACAACTTTTATATGTACTATATATATGTATTATATATGTGCATGCATATATATATATATATATAATTATGAGATTAAGGATTATGTGTGTGTATGTATGTACATATATCATGAGATTAAGGATTATTGATCTATGTAAGAGAAAGAAGAAAAATCATTTGCCTATCCTCAGCCTGTTTCCATGGTTGTACAATGAAATGACTGGACTTCATGGAATACTTTGGGAAGGTATAGTTGTCATGTGGGATGTCAGTATTAAAAATAATAAGGTGTAACTTTCCCAAAGTCACAAAGTTATTAAGGTGGCAGAGGTAGGAGTCAGTGATACACTGGCCCCTTGATATTCCTCTCCATGTACATATCTGCCTCTCGTGATTTCTTCCATTTCAGCAGACTGAGGGTTGACCTAATGGACAAGGGACTTTTCTAAAACACCCTGAAAGAGGTCTAGTCACCTCTTAGCAGTTTCTCCATTTCAGTCCTCCAGAGCTGTGTACTAGGATTTGACCTATTAAGTCAGAAACTTATTGTACTTAGCAAATACAGATGTAATCCACTTTGTTTTCTGCCTGGACTCCAAATTTACCTTTCTGCTGTTGTTAACTAATCTACTGAAAAATGTTATGTGGCTGTTAAATTTAGAATATAAAACATAATTTTTCATTTTCTTTTTTCATTTCCATTATTTTTCCTTTACAGAATTTCCATACAGCTTTTACATTTACATTTTTTTTACCTATATGAACCCAGGAGTCTAAAAAGTTTGAGAATCCCCCTCACCCACCAGTATGCTAATAGTCCTGCCTAATGGAGGACTACCACTAGAGAGTGGTACTTGTCATGCCTTCTGATATACAGAGAAGTTAGTGATGTTCTATGTATAGTATTCTACTGCACCTTTGAGTCCTAATCCCACTTCAGATATGCCTATATTTGACTGAAATTTTAGGCCCTCTTCTGGTAATACTTAAACTAAATGCCAAAGTGGTAGTAGATTACAACTAAAATCAAAGGGTTAAATGGGTAGGAAATATGGATCTTAATCTTTTCTCCTAAAACATTTTATTAGGAAGTCCTAATCCTATCCATATGGTAAAATAACCATGGAAATGGAGTACTAAAAAGTTTAAGTTACTGTAAATGTTCTTAGTAATATTTGCCAAGCAAGAGGATTAATCATATAGATATGACATTAATATTTTTGAGCCAGGAACTGTATTAAGCACATTAGCATGTTTTACATAATGGGATAACTGCTTCAGGAAATACTTAGCCAAATTTTTCATTCTGGCCAATGCACTCTTCTTTATTAGCCAAAATGGAGTATGCAGGCCCAGGGAAAAGTTACATGATGGATTACTAGTGTTTCCCTATAAATTAGACCATTTCTTCACTTATATATGTTTATACAAGTTAAGATGGTATTAAATTCCCAGATAAAAGGTTGGTCCATAATACAGAATGGAGGCAAAGGAATTGTTAAATAACTTAGGCAATATTTAATAGAAACCCTGTCTTTAGGTTTGTGTACTCTTCTGAGTTCTGTACTAGAAATTCCAGGGCAATGTATAGTGGTGTGTCACAAGTAGATAACTACATTCTTAGGAAATCTTTATACTTTCACTATTTTTTTTATTTGTGAGAGATATTTCTTTTATCAGTACTAGGAAAATAGAAGGAACTATAGGTAAAACATCAAGTGCTTGCGATTTACCTATATTCAGCCATACTAATATTAGTGTTTATTTTCAGTAGCAACTGTGGTACTTCATCTGTTTTCCACCCCTTATATTTCAAAGTCATGAGTGAAAATGTTCTAAAAGCAATTGGTCATCTTATCAACCAAGGAGACAAGGGCTATCTAAGATCCTGAATCAATTACTGCCCTTTAGGAAACATATCCTGGCAACATGTTTTTGTGGGAAGGAATGGTTTTAACTCCAGATGTTACCCAAACATTCTTCAAAGTAAATGGCAAGAACACATAGTAGTTAGAATGCAGATGTATAAACTGTGCTTAGATGTGTAGCCTTAGAATTAGTGTGCAAAGAGAACCACTGCAATTCAGACTCCCATAAATTCAATCCATAAACATCTCTTTGATTCTACTACACATTGGCAGAGATAGGTATTATAATTTAAAAAACTTGGAAATATTTCATATTTACAAGATAGCCAATGAGCTTTTTTCCCCTATAACAATAAATTTATACATTCTTTTAATTTATGTAGTTTTTTAGGTTGAATTTTGAACAATTCTGACTGTCAGGGCTGGACATTCTGCACAGGTATGGGACTTTGGCATGAGTAACGGTAGAATAACTAAAGAATGCCTTGAGTTGTGGTTTTTGTTTTATTCCTCAGACCTTTTTACTTGCTCCATTGATATATGTCTGAGCACTGGATCATATATCTGCAAAACACCTATGACATTCTCTATTATATAAAAATCCAATAACACATGAAAGAGGGAGAGTGTGAAGGTGGAAGGGAAGGTAAAAAAGACATGATGCAAAAGCCAAGTGGAAACATCCACCCTGTACTTTCTCATGTAAAAATTATAAAAGGATTTTTAATGACTTGATTTATTATGAGCTAATAGTCTTTCCTGTTTTGCAGAAGTCCACAAAAGGAAGATAGGATACCGATGGCAGATGAGTACTATGAATACAAGCACATAAAAGCCAAACTGAGACTATTAGAGGTCCTCATCAGCAAGCAAGATGTGGCCAAAACCATCTGAGGTTCAGGAAATATTTGTGCTCACTTTCAACCAGGATAAGGCCAAGTTTCTTTACCTATGACATTCTTGCTAAGTAGTTTTGACATACTGAGAATCAAAGCACTTTAGTGGTAGTATTAGCTGTTTTTAAGAAGGGATGGCAAGTGTAATTATAAATGAGGATGGAAGAGTTAAATGGGGGAAATATACTAACAATATAATTGGAAAAATTGCTCCATGCCAAGGAGAAAACACATGGTCAGTATAATTATTTCAAAAACCATCTTAATATTTTATCAAATCTAAATAATACTTGTTCAGTGGGCCACTTGTTAGGAAAAGTCTATTTTGTGTCCAAAAACTGCTTATGTTAAAGTGTGGAAAAGAGCATGATTTTTTAAAAAATCAATAAGGATGAAAAGAAACTTTTCTTTTTATGTAGGAAGGAATATGGCTAGTAAGAATTTAATATATTTAAAAATTCTAATAGATTTTTAAGTGATAAAAAATCTACCTTGTCCCTTAAGTCTGCTAGGCTATCAGTAAAGCATACTAGAATGTGTCACTGCTAATTTTTTATTTCTATATAAAAATAGCAGATTTTACCTGTTATTTGAGATTTTACATTTCTGGTTACCAAAGTTCATTCTGATAGCATGTACTTTGTGAATTAGCTTTGTCTATAATGACAGATGTTTATATTAAAGTAAACTATTGTATTAAAATTTAAAAATAGGTATTTTGGGATAGATTCGTGGTCTGCAGTATATAATTCTAATGTGATCATAGTTATGATTGCTAATCTTTTTGTTTACTATAAGAGCATATAACTATTTTTGCATTGGGAATATGCATTTTTCTTAATGTTCCAAAGTCTGTACTTTGTATAGTCACAAAGCTTTCTCATGAGTTGTAGGTATTCTTCATCTTGCACAAAATTTGTAAATTGCTGACACCTTGGAAAAGAAAGCTAAATATTTTATTTGCTTCATCAACTTTAGTGCATATGGTTTTGTGTTATTTTGTACTAAAACATGCGTTTATTATTTTGCCTTTGTAAAAATAAGAGGCAACATTTTCTCTCTTGTAACAACCATGTTTGTATTTCTGTTTTCTGTAATGTTTAAGCATGATGTTGAACAAATTCACATTTTCATATAGTTTGGGTGGGAAGAATATTGACTTTCAGAAGTAGAGTATTTCAGAGGCTTATTGTTTTCTCTGTATTTACCTGGTATTTTATAACTTTTATGAATCAGAATGATGTCCTTCATAAATTTGTTTAATTGAAGTCATCTACTTGTAACAGGACAGATACACAACTATTTGAAGTTTACAAACTACATCTTTGATAAGGGAAATGGTTTCATGACATGTATACAATTGCTATTAAAATGTAACTCTATATATTCTATATGATTGTAAATATTTTATACAACAATACAAATAAAATATTTTTCTATTATATTTATTATGTTGAAACACAATAGTTGTTTCCTGTTAGCTAATATAAATAACATAAATAACACTGTCAAACAACAAGTTGGAAGTGTTGACAATTCTAGGCTTCAAGATTTAACTCATGCTGCAATTACACCCTTTCATGCGGTTTGGAGTTATCCCAATATTTGTTCAGTAGATTAAAATGAATGCATATTTAAACACCATTTATAAGCTGTTATTTTGTATTTTGCTAAAGCATTTATATAATTGTCTTGTTATGTTTGGCATAAAGGAAAAATAAAGACATTGCAGCATCTAGGCAATAAAGTGTCAGAGGAGAACTTTCATCACTGAAAGTAATGGGAAAGGCAGGGAATAGGAAACACTAGAATGGCTCTGAATGAAATTTGAAAAATGGCACTTTGCTTTTGGTGATAGCGGCATGTGCATGCTTCAGTGGAAAACATCTGGTGATGAGAATGGACAACAGAGGATCAATGCTCCTAAGGGAAGAAAAGGGACTGAGTAAGAATAAGAAAAGTGGGCATTAACGTCCAACACTGATATTACAGGTTTTGCAGCTGGGATCTTTCTTTGCATTTGCAGTAGACAAACTCATGAGCTGATGACCAGTGATTTCTGCTACAGTGCCCAGAGAAAGATCCACAGGATCAGTGTAAATGACTTCTAAAATGACATCCTGGGCATGGTGGTAAACCAGCACCCCATCTTCTTCTGTGCAGGTCAAAAATTTATTATCCTTGGAATTTAGCTGAGGAAGGCGCTGCTTACAAAATTCATCTCCTGGTGATCCCACAGGGGCAATAACAAGAATCACATAATGATAAGCAGTGTACATACAGTAGAAGTCCCCAAAGTATAAGTTAGTATTGGGGTTAAAAAGTTTTTCTGCTGCAATCTCAAACCTGTATCTTCCGTAAGGTGAATCCTGGGGTGGTTTCCCAGTATTGAATTCAGTGCTGCAGCTGAAGAAGATGCCTTCTAATTTTCCACTGATAGGAGAGCCATGGCTACCACTGTTATCCTTGACAGATGGCTGCATAGCATTCCCATGATGTTCTCTGCAAGAGAAAAGAAATGATCATTTCTTGGTATAATAGTAGTAAAGCTATTGATTTATATGCAGATCTTATTGGTGGTTGGCCTGAAAGTCTGATCATCCTATCAGAGCAAGGAGAATCCATCTTTTGACCTACTTAACTTTTATGTACTTTAATGCTAGGATGTTCTTCTACAAACCTTGGAGGTCTTTATGTAATAAATTTCCTGGCCAGAAAAACTGAACTGGAATTAGAAATCTTACAACTGAAATCACATCCATTATATACCTACTGGGTTTTAGAAGTAGCTTTTTGAAGAGAAAACGAGACTAACAGTATTGGTTAGTTAAATATACTGAATGTTTCTTTAAAGTATGCCAGAAATTTAGTCCTGAGTACTGTCCATGTATATTGGTACAAAAGCGTTTTATTTTGTTTTTTAGGGTTTTTTCCCCCCAGGGTACTGTTTGCTAATTAGGTCCTCTCTCTTGTGTTTTTCTTACAACAGAGCTGGTTATTCCTCCTTTACCATTCCCCCAGTTCTATTCTCCATCCTTTTTGCCTTCCACTGTGAGCTGGGACTCTATCATCCAGTTCATCCTTGTTCCTTGGTCCCTTCCATTTCAGTTCTGCCAGTGGGGGCACCAGCATATCTGGGAGAGGAGGGAGTAAAACCTTGAGTGTGTCATCTTCTACTTTCTCCATTCTTCAGAACCTTGTGGTTCTGGCGTGGCTGGATTCATCTGTACCACATGTCTCTATTTCTCCTATCAGATGTACTCTATCCCCCTTCTCAAAAATAGTAAAACTTTTCAATTCTTGATAGTTCTTGTTTGCTTTAGCATTCCTTATTGTTGCCTTCACCCTGCCTATACCTTTGTGAATGGTGCTTTTGTCAAATTTTCTCCAGAACTCCTACTAAATGTCCCTTCTCTTTCTTGTTGGGCCCTTAACCAGCAAGACTTGGGATGAAAATTACAACCTACTATGCAGGCATGAGAAGGTTCCCAGTCAGCATTCTTCTTCCTTTTTTTTTTTTTTGTTCTTTTTGCTTTCTATTTTTTTTTTAAATGTAATTTGTTGTCCAGTTGGCTAACATACAGTGTATATACAGTGTGCTCTTGGTTTTGGGGGCAGATTCCTATGATTCATCGCTTACATACAACACCCAGTGCTCATCCCAACAAGTGCCCTCCTCAATGCCCATCGCCCATTTTCCCCTCTCCTCCATCCCCCTCCCCATGAACCCTTAGTTTGTTCTCTGTATTTAAGAGTCTCTTATGGTTTGCCTCCCTCCCTCTCTGTTTGTAACTATTTTTCCCCTTCCCTTCCCCCATGGTCTTTTGTTAAGTTTCTCAAGTTCCACATATGAGTGAAAACATATGATATATGTCTTTCTCTGACTGACTTATTTCACTTTGAATAATAGCATCCAATTCCATCCATGTTGCTGCAAATGGCAAGATTTCATTCTTTCTCATTGCCAAGTAGTATTCCATTGTATATATAAACCACATCTTCTTTATCTATTCATCAGTTGATGGAAATTTAGGCTCTGTCCATAATTTGGCTATTGTTGAAAGCACTGCTATAAACATTGGGGTTACATGTGTCCCTATGAATCATCACTCTTGTATCCTTTGGATAAATTCCTAGTAGTGCTATTGCTGAGTTGTAGGGTAGCCTTTGGGTCAGTGAGGTGTGCTCAAGATCTCCCCTGACTATAGTACAGCAATGAGACTCAAAGGCTGCTACCAAGGGAGCTTATTAAAATGCGATTCAAAGTAAGACCAAAAAACTGTCTGTCACATATTAGAATACACTAGAAAAATAAATGATGTATGATATTCCAATTGGACCCCATATTTTTATTCTTACTGTTCTTCCTTGCCTCCTGATGTTCCAAAAATTCCTTCTATTATCATTTTATTCCTTTTTCAAAAACTTAAAAAAACTACAATGGTCCAAAATCTTTGGAGTGCAACAAGAAGTTCTAAGGAAAGTTTAAAGCAATACAGGCCTATCTCAAGAATCAAGAAAAAAATCTGACACAATCTTACTTTACAACCAAAATGAGCTAGAAAAAGGAGAACAAACAAAACTCAAACCCAACAAATAGGATTACAGTAGAAATAAATGATATAGAAACTAAAAAAACAGGAGGACCTGGGGAAGATGGTGGTGTAGGAGGACTCTGGGCTCACCACGTCCTGCTGATCACTTAGATTCCACCTATACCTGCCTAAATAACCCAGAAAACCGCCAGAAGACTAGCAGAACAGAGTCTCTGGAGCCAAGCGCAGACGAGAGGCCCACGGAAGAGGGTAGGAAGGGCAGAGAGGCGGGGCACGCTACATGGACTGGCGAATGGAGCCGGGGCGGAGGGGCAGCGCACAAGCCAAGCAGAGACCCTGCGTCTGGCTTGCAAAAGCAGAGGGGCCAGAGGGAGTGTATTCAGACAGCAAGTGGGACTTAACATCTGGAAGGTTATTAAGTTTACAGCTCTGCTCGGAGAGCGGGAAGGCTGGAGGACAACAGGAGGGAGAGTTGCTGAGCCCCGGGATGACAGAGCTCAGTTTGGCGGGGAACAAAGGCGCTGCCAGCGCCATGCCCCTCGCCCATCCCCCAGCCAAAATCCCAAAGGGAACCAATTCCTGCCAGGGAACTTGCTTGCACCACGCAAACACCCAACACTGTGCTTCTGCGGAGCCACACCTCCTGCAGCAGGTCTGACTCCCTCCCACTGCCTCAGGGCCCCTCCTGAAGCGGATCACCTAAGAAGTGAGCTGAGCCTGCCCCTCCCGCCCCTGTGCACCTTGCCTATCCACCTCACCTAATATGACAGATCCCCAGCACCACAAGCCTGGCAGTGTGCAAGTAGCCCAGACGGGCCACGCCACCCCACAGAGAATGGAGAGGGGAAGAGAAGGTACACACCAGTCTGACTGTGGCCCCAGAAGTGGGCTGGGGGCAGACATCAGGACTGACTGTGGCCCCACCCACCAAGGCCAGTTATTCAAGACAGAACAGGGGAAGTGCCCTGCAGTTCCACACCACTCCAGGGACTATCCAAAATGACCAAACAGAAGAATTCCCCTCAAAAAACCTCCAGCAAATAACGACAGCTAACAAACTGATCAAAAACGATTTAAACAATATAAACAGAGAGTGAGTTTAGAATAATAGTCATAAAATTAATTGCTGGGCTTGAAAATAGTATAGAGGACAGCAGAGAATTTCTTGCTACAGAGATCAAGGGACTAAGGAATAGTCAGGAGGAGCTAAAAAATGCATAAACAAGATGCAAAATAAAATGGAAACGACCATGGCTCGGATTGAAGAGGCAGAGGAGAGAATAGGTGAACTAGAAGATAAAATTATGGAAAAAGAGGAAGCTGAGAAAAAGAGATAAAAAAATCCAGGAATATGAAGAGAAAATTAGAGAACTAAGTGATGCACTAAAGAGAAATAATCTACGCATAATTGGTATTCCAGAGGAGGAAGAGAGAGGGAAAGGTGCTGAGTGTACTTGAAGAAATCATAGCTGAGAACTTCCCTGATCTGGGGAAGGAAAAAGGCATTGAAATCCAAGAGACACAGAGAACTCCCTTCAGACGTAACTTGAATCCATCTTCTGCATGACATATCATAGTGAAACTGGCAAAATACAAGGATAAAGAGAAAATTCTGAAAGCAGTAAGGGATAAACGTGCTCTAACATATAAAGGGAGACCTATAAGACTCGTAACAGATCTCTCTTCTGAAACTTGGCAGGCCAGAAAGGAATGGCAGGAGATCTTCAATGTGATGAACAGGAAAAATATGCAGCCGAGAATCCTTTATCCAGCAAGTCTGTCATTTAGAATAGAAGGAGAGATAAAGGTGTTCCCAAACAAACAAAAACTGAAGGAATTTGTCACCACTAAACCAGCCCTACAAGAGATCCTAAGGGGGATCCTGTGAGACAAACTACCAGAGACATCGCTACAAATATAAAACATACAGACAACACAATGACTCTAAACCCATATCTTTCTATAATAACACTGAATGTAAATGGACTAAATGCACCAACCAGAAGACATAGGGTATCAGAATGGATAAAAAAACAAGACCCATCTATTTGCTGTCTACAAGAGACTCATTTTATTTTATTTTATTTT